TCTCTCTAGGGCACAGCCGAAGGTAGGTGGTTTCTTCACCACCTTGGGGCTTGGTGCAAACTGCTCCACCCACCCCCACCCAGAAACTTGCCATTGCCTGGCTAGCACCTCTTCCTCGCTTGAAATTGGAGGCTCAGAACTGTTGGCTTTACTCATCCTGAGAACTGGGGACAGTTTGGAGCAAGGCACTTTTCTCAGAAGCCCTGAGGCCTTGCATTGCTGGCTGCTGGCTGCTGCTGGGGCTAGCTTCCCTGAGGTCTCTGGTTTGCAGCTCTGAGTGACTCAGAATTCTGTTCCACACGTAGTCAGCCTGAGGCAGCTGGTGCTCTGTGAGGGCAGGATGTGATTTGTGATTCTGACCCTCCCCCTCTGAAGGAAGAGGACCCACGTGAGACGGATGTAGGCTGAGAGGTGCCATCTTGTGCACAGGTTCCCGTGTTACTGGTGAGGAGACTGAGAAGATACCCCACCCCGTGACTGTGACAGCGTGCTGGCTGGGTCCCGGGTGCCACCACTGATGCCTCCAAAGCGTGAAGTTTGGGAGGACTGCTGTTACCTTTATAGAGGAGGCATGGGCTCTGCCCATGAAAGGACAGGGCAGAGCTTTGGACCCCAGCACACTGGCTGTAAACTGTATCTCCCTCTGATTCTTGTCCTAAATTACGTATCCCTTCCCCCTTCGTGTGGCCCTGTACTGAGCAGTTATTACCTTCCTGGGGGTATAATGGCTGAGTAGGAAGGGCAGCTGTGAAGGGAGGCAGCTAGCTGGAGAGACTTGGAGGCCTGTGAAGATGCCAGGGGCAGAGGAAGGGGGAGATGGGCAAGGATGCACACAGGTGATACGAGATGGCAGCAGCCCCTGCTCTTTGGATAAACCTTGTCACAGGCCAGCCCTGTGGTCTTGGGAGGGCAGTCCCTTCATCTTGATGCCTTTCAGAGAGCATGGCCAGGACATCATGGAGGAATTCCTTGGGCAAACCAGGTCTCTTGAGACTGTAGCAGTCAGTCAGGCTGTGTGACAAGACCTCACAGACATCTGTCTCCTCACAGTTCTGGAGTCTGAATGCTCGAGATCAGGATGCTGGTGTGGACAGCTCTGTGATGGGCTCTGTTAGCCGCAGATAAACTTTCCGCTGTGTCTGTAAGAAAGGCACACAGATGCCCCTGGAGCCCTTGGGAAGGCATTGCTCCCTCATGTCAGCCCCAACTTGTATTCTGAGGCTTCACATTGGACCTAGGGTCTTGTGTGTGTGAGGGAAGCTCTCGATCCCTTAACTTCATCCCCAGACCGTAGGATTACATCTTCAAACCCCATCACACAGGGGCTAAAGGCTCACAGTACCAACTTGGGAATCAGAGAGCATTCGGTCCACAGCGAGGACCGCAGGTTGGACTCTGAACAAAGCAAAGACATGTGTGCATACTGTACCGGCCACAGCAGGGGACCTCTGACTCATAAGTACTACAGCTGGGCCAACAGCTCTCCTTAGAGACTTGCGACAGGTCTGGGCCTTGCGTGGATCCTAAGGGTCTTCTTTCCAGGCAGGTAACGAGTCTGCAATGCAGGAGGGAGGCACATGTGCCTGGAGTCGTCTGGGGTAAGGGGAGACCGTAAATGCCCAGAACACAGAGCGGATGTGGTGGCAGAGAGTGCAGCACAGCCTGGGTGTCTGTGCACAGGACGTGGGCTTACCCTGGAAGTACACAGATACATGTGTAGGTTCCTGTGTTGGGGACTCTGAGAGCAAGTGGTGGCAATTGCGGCAGGACCTACAAGTGTCTAGAAGGGGAATTTATGGGAGGGTTAGAAACTACTCAGTTATTTGGCATACGATGGTAAGGCCTCTTGAAGTCTGGTCAGGAGTTGGGGAATCTCGTCCACAGTGAGGGTGGCATCATGTGACCTTTGATGTGAGAACAGGGGCTGTGGGGGAAGCCATCCTTGCTGCCTCTGTTCCCACCCGCTACTCCAGCGGGAGAGCTGATCTGCCCTCCATCCCACCTTGCAGGCACAGACAATCTCAGAAGTTGCAAAGTAGCCTTTGACTAAGCCTTTCGAGCCTAATGAGATTCATGGTTTCCCAAACAATTAGCTACTTCTTCATCTCATTTGTGGTCACAGCTGCTGTGGGTTTGGATGGCTGTTTCCTGAACTCCACTCACAGAGTCTCCCATCAGCCTTGATGTTAACCCTTGCTTTACAGCCTGTCTGGGGCAGGCCACCGTGAGCATGCAGAAGGGGGAGGAAGCTGGCACATGCTCACTGCTCTGTTCAGCAGCCTTTCCACTATGCTTGATTGACAGGAGAGGCGTGGCTCAGGAGACATTCTGCTGAGCAGGGGATAGAACCTTGCCGAGGGGGCCGCTCAGCCCAGGTCTTGACTTCATGGATGAATAGGCTACACTTTCTGGGATTTCTTCCAGGGCTTCAAGTCCATGTACAGAGCTCTGCATGTGGGATGTGCTGATATCCTAGCAGGCTCTTTACTGACCCACTGGAACACTAGGACCATCATGCCCTTGACCTGCCTCTGTGTCCCTTTGGCCCCACAACTCACAAACACACAGCACTTTCTAACATGCGCTGGGACTTCTACCCAGGTGTGCTTGTGACCTCAGGAGTCAAGAAGCCAGCCAGAGAGCAGATCCTGGACTCTGGTAACCCCTCATGTGTTCATGGTAATCAGTTCTTGGCCAATCACAGTGCCCATGGCAGAAGTGCGGTGTCCTGTTTAGGCTTCCAGCTGTGGCCTTGTAGGAGACCCCAAAGAGGGCAGTGAGTCTAGGACCAATGGCTCTGGGGCAGATGTGGAGGGTGCCTTAGCCTCAGCAGCATGGAGCTCTTACACAAGCCTCTTGATGTCCATCTCCACATTCCCAGCATCTGGCCAGAGCCCTCACAGGGGTCCACATAACCTACTTCCTGTTGGAGCATGCAGGGAGACAGAATGGTAGCCCAAGTTGTTAGAGGGTTTGAGACTCCCCCCTTCTCTTTGTTAGGAGACCATAGGTAGCAGTGCTGAGCACATGCCAATTGCCAAGCACATGCTACGTGCCACAGAGGTGTTCATATGAGAGGCCATGTGAGAATCTGGCTGCCATTGTGCTTTTATTCCAGAAGCTTCCAGAGGTGGTCAGCATCCTTACTCAGTGTTTCCTAAAGGTCTTTTATATTTGGGAAGGCCTAAATGGAAGTTGAGCCTCCGACTGAGAGAGGCCCTGCCTCTGGCTTCACGCCTCTGGCTTCCACCAAGAGCAGCTGAGGAACCTCATCACTGACAGGAAGAGGTGCAGCAGCTCTGCTCACACACAGGGGACGCTGCCTTTTTGCGTCACAGACTCCCCTTCTTTGGTACCAGCTTTTGAGTCCATGGAGGCAGGGCAGGCAGGACCTCTGACTACAGCACTCGGTGGTACAGTGCTCTGGCCTTGAACCCATGTGTGTGAGACTACTATCCCCTCAGGGCTGCTGAGTTTGGCGTTAATGGGGACACCCTGAAACCCTTAGCCACGTGGCATTTCTGAGCTGTTTTTCTGGGAGCAGCAAGTGAGGGAGGGGTACGTCATCCTGCTGACAGCAGGAACCTAAGCTAGAGGCTGAGGCCATGGAAGGGCAGTTAGACACAGAAGCATCTGTGTAGAGAGGGAACATAAGCCGTGAGAAGGTGTCGGCGAATGCTGGGGAGGCCATCTGTATTTACCACGGGGAACAAGGCTGGCCCCGTAGCTCAGGTGGTAGTATGCTTGCTTGGCAAGCCGTGGGTTAGGCTTCACATATACCAGACATGTTGGTACATGCCTGTAGGTGGATCAGAAGTTCAGGGTCATCCTTAGCTATATGACAGTCTGAAAAGAAAAAGAAAGTAAATGGGAATCATATATGGGGAATGATGGGAATTGGAGATTTTGGAGAAGTGCCAGCTTTTGGGTCCATGGAAACTAATTTGAGCCATGTAAAGTTTGAGCATTACAGTAGACCTCTTAACTGCAGTTCAGGGGTGCTGGCCTGAGGTTAAAACCCTAATGTGGCTGTTGCTGCAGAAGGACTGGCCTGACCACCCCTGCTCTGGATTTTGGAGGCGCTGACAGAGTGCAGAGCCAGACAGCTGCCTTGAGGACTGATGTTCTTGGAACACCGGAGAGCAGCCATGTGTGTCTCCGGAGAGACTAGGAAAGGCAGGGCCCCCACATCTTACTGTCACCGTGAGAGCAGGTAGACAACATGTGCCTTATAGTCCCAGGTCAGCCTGAGACCAACCCCAGCCTGGCCAGAAGTTCAGGCCTGGCGTGTACAAGCTGAGAACAACACCCTCCCCCGGGATGAGAGGGCTGTCCTGACTCTCCTTGAGATTGGATTCAAGTTCCCCTGTCCCACCCCCAACTGAAGACCAGCATCAAAGGAAGCTCAGGCCTTCTGTACCCTCCAGAGGGGACATGACGAGGGCTCTGAAAGCTTGAGCGGCAAGAAGCTCCATCCAAGTGGAAGAGAAAAGACAACCGATGGGTTTTTATAATGACACCCCCTCATGACACCCTTCAGGTGTCTTCATTGCTGAGGGGCAAGAGGCTTTCAAGAGAGTTAACTTTGGGGGAACTTTTTAGGAAAGCACATGACCTCTGAGGGGTTATGTCATAGTAGATGGGTCCCTCCCGGGATTCCTCTTCTTTAGGATCTAGGGGAACTTTATCTCCATGGTGGCCACAGAGACTGGGGAGAGGCCTTCGGGGCTGCTTAGACACATACATAGCCCTCATCTTGCTGATGGATTTTTGCCTCAGGGACCACCCCCTCTCTGCATGAAGTCCCACGGCTCAGTGGTCCTGACCCCAGTTGTTGGGTTCACTCAAGCCAGGAAGTTAATACAGAGTTGGCCTGACACTCTAGTCTGAGGGTGAAGTTCTGTTCTGGGTTGTGTAGCTAGAAACAAATTCGAAGTATGATAGAGTTCAAAGGTAACTTTTCCTTTCTTCTCAAAAATGGTTTTGCACGTCTTTTTCAGAGCTGATAGACACACACCTTAGCTGGATACAAAACATATTATGAGACCGAGTGACTGGTCTTTGATCCGAGAAATCAAAGTGAAAGGTAACGGATTCTTCTACTTCTCCCTGGGGTCACCAGCTGTGTTTGCTTACCTCCAGTTCATGGTTAAGTCAGAGAATGTGCCAACCCCAAGGCCCTCTGCTTCTTGGCCAACCGTCCTTGTGGATCCCACTCTCAAGGGCTAGACAGCCTCAAGATTCTCAGTCTGTGAGGTGGGGGTGGATGCAAGGGTTTGCATGCTGTCTGGGGGACCCTGTACCCTACAGGAGTTGGGGTTCTGTATTGAGTAGAGCCCTAGGAAACTGACCAGGAGACCCCATGACCAGGAGAGTGTGTGTGGCTCTCTATAGTATACAAATGCCCTCTCTTGGCTTCCCCCTCTGCATCCAACTTAGCTTGCTTTGATCTCTGGGGCCAATAGAAGGGTCGGGTGGCCGGTGACCAAATCAGACTGGATAGGGCAAGCTTGGGAGGCTCTTTGACAATACAGTCCCCATGGGTTAAGAAGGCAGTGATGACTTTCCCATGTCTCTGCCATGTGATTAGCCTGACTTTGCAGCTGGCCCACTGAGCTCTCTGGGACAGAAATTAAGTTGACATTGTTGGGGTGCTGGGCCATGGCTCAGTGAAAGCAGCCAGCTGCCTTACTGTCTGCCCTTGGCAGAATCACACTAAAAATCCCAGTAAAAAACAGTGAGAAAAAGCCATGCCTGCAGTATGTACAAATGAGCTGGCAGCTTAGAACCCCTACTTCTCCCAAAACAAGGGATAAAAGCATCCCTACACTACAATGCACCCTTCCTGGGAAGGCCAGGTACTCAGCTCATCCAACAACAGGGATTCAAACTTTGCTGTGGTCAAGGGCTGATCCACTGCTGAGCATTTGCCATGGCCCAGGAATTGGGCTGATAAAATGTTTCATGTGGAGAGCCAAGTCCCTGTCAGGCCCCCAAAGATACATGGTGGTTCTTGGGCCTGGGAATTTGGCAAATGTCCCAGTCATCAGCCTCCTTCTGACCCAGACTGACCGATCGTGGGATTTTGTCTTTTCTACTGAGCCTGTATAGATGGCCTGGCTATGGCCTAGAAAGTCCTTTAGTGGTCTTAGGTATCCAGAGCTCAGGAAGGGGGCCAAGAAAAGATGCAAGGAGATTTCTACACAAAGCCAGCCCCATAATTACATCCTCAGGTGACATCTGAGGGAAAGCCCAGTCCTTGGGTGTGGAGCTGGTCCTTGGCCCTAGAGGACACTCTCCCAGGAGCTTCTCCTACATCAGCAGATGTGATGCCCACCTGACCTGGTCAGCAGAGGATCCAGGGTGGGGGCATTCCAGGCCTGTCCTGGCTATGGGGGGAGGGGGGACTCTGGCTGTGGCCAGACAGCAGAAAACACAGTTGAGGTTAGAAAGAGAAGCAGCGAGGCCTGTTAGCTCCTCCCTGCAGCTGCCGTTCTGGGGTCAGCAGCTAAGGTGGGGGGGGGCTGTAGGAAGAACCCCTGAGAGTCCCTTGTCTAACAAGTCCCCAGGACAAGTCCATTTTAGCCACTAGGGTGTTACCGCTAAACAAACCCAGACCAATTCTTAAGTAATAATAGTTGAGTCTCTGGCTTCCCCAGATTGATGAACCCCAAAGTTGGCAAAGAAAATACCCTTTACCTCTCTGCCATTGGCAAACTATGATGGTGAGGCTTGATCTAATCCCCTGTCCTGTTTTGTCAATAAAGTTTTATTGAGACACATTCATGTTGATTTGTCTATAGTGTCTCAAAAACTGAGGCCCCAGCACCCACAAATCTGAAAGTAGTACCTAGTTTTTAACCAAAAGAGCCTGTTGGTCCCTGGCATTGCCCTTTCAATATGGTCTGTAACCATTTTCATTGATTCATATTCTCAGAGCTATAGTACCTCTTATATGAATAATTGCCTCTAATAATGAAAGATGCTATAATTTTGATGCATTTACAATCTGAACATCTTCTGTTTCCCCGTGGCAACCTTGGGGGGTCACACTGAAGTTAGAGACACATTCATCCTCAGCCCTGTCCCTAATGGGGTTGGCAGCACTGTGGCAAGGTGGTCCCTCACCCTGTCCTAGGCTTAGATCAAATATAACACAGAAAATACGTCCTTTTCCTGCACAAAACAGTGATGGTTCTGGGTCTCCAGAAACAAAACGTGGTAAATATTGAACCTCACGGAACAATTTCTTGGCCAGCATGTAGTCTGCAGACTGCCGGCTGCAACAAGAGACCTCCAGTCTCTACAGCATCTATCAACAGCATAACCACGTTACTAGGGCTGAGGCGGGAATAGTCCCGTCATCCTCAGAAACCCTGCATGGGCCATTCTTTTATAGGTAAAATTTCTAGGCCGATAATAGCCACCCCAAACACCAGCTGTGCGTATGGTCCTACACACGGCACAATTCTGTGAGACTTATGGATTCCACACTGACTGCTGGGGTGTTGTGTGGGGGTGGGAACAGGTACTGTTGGAACCAGGGTAGACAGGAAGTTAGAGTTGAAAGTGGATGGGGTTTATGGAGACTCATGAACCAAGGCAGGAAGAGAAGCTGGCAGATATTCAGAGGAATTACGGGATGAATAAAAGGGGCCGGGTCAGGCTCAGACCTCTGTGTCACCCTGGGAGCCATACCCAGCTGACATGGAATCTGCAGTGTGTCTAGCTCTTTCTGAGATCTGTGTCCCCATGTCATTACCGGGTACTGCCTACGTCTGGGGCACAGGATGCAGCCAGGCACGTGAGCACGCACCGAGAGGAAGGGTACAGAAGAGCCGGCACAGCCAGCTGGTGGGAGCCTATGTATGAGCCGTGGCTATCATGGGCAGAAGACACAAACGTTAGACGAGGCAGGGATGGCATTGGCCTGGTGGGGACACGGGGTCAGGGGTTTGCTGGTGGCGTGAATAGGAAGGTGGAAGCCAGGGTCGTGTGTGCTCAGAGAGCAGAAGTGAGTACACAGGGTCGGGGGGGGGGGGAGCTCCAGAGAGCAAAGCAGGTAGGGCATTGGCCCAGAGCAGGAGTCGGTTTTGGGTACAGATGGAAGAGAGTGAGAAAGGTGGATAGGAAAGGAAGGAGAGAGTGATAGGAGCCGAGTTGGACTCCCTCCTCATGGGGGAAGACAAAGGGCAGATAGCCACGGTGGGCATTATGGGCTCCATTCAGAGGGTAGTAGCCCGTCACCGAGCCTAGCGGCCTGCAAGGGGACACCTGGGTGGACAGGTAGAGCAGAGCCCCTCAGAACTTGAAGCCTGACTTTTAGCCTGACACAGAATAATGCAATTGCCATCATCTGGTTGGTATGTGTTCTAGAACTTTCTCCCCTGCAAACAGGGGTACAAGTAGGATTTCAGAAAGGGGGGAGAGAAAAAAAGTTGCCACCATAGAAGTTGCTGGATGTGGTTCAATCTGGCAACAGCCTCACCCACCATCACCGAGTGTTCCACATGTGGTTGGAAGGTAGTTTTCAGCTAGTAGGAAACACTCAACTCAGAGGGCCACACCGCCTCTCTCTGGCTCCTGAGAGATCATCTAGCCTCCCAGGCCTGTGTTCCTCAGAGGGAGATGACCCTGTGTGAGGGCCTGTGGTACCCAGTGCGGTATCTATCAGCTATTTTAGCAAACCCGGCTTGTGGGAAGTTTCCATGAGGGGTGGATCACTCCTACCTCAGAGGCCGAGCAGACAAGGAAGGCCTATAGGATTGCAACTTTGAAAAGCTTCCTGGGAGCTGCTGGTCCCTGTTCTGCTTCTAGTTTCCGTTCCATCCCCCAGAGGGGGATGACAGCACTGTTGAGGTTGGCATCCTTCCTTCAGTTTCCCGTTTTGGGCCCCAGTGAGTGAGCTGGTACCTGGAACATGGTTTACAGTACATGGTGCACACGTGGTCCCAGTCAGCTAACCGTAGGAGTCCAGCCCCGAGACCCCGTTAACAGCTATTTATCATCTCAGAAGAGTTTGTTGCGATGGGCTCCAGGGCTCACGCTTGGGCATACCTGGCATCTAGTGCTCTGCTCTGCAGGCCCACACATGTTCTGTCCTGGGCGCTGTGGCCACTAACTTGATGATGTCGTGCTCACAGCACTAGGAAATAGTAATATTTTTGGACCAAGTTACAGGTTGAGAAACTGAGGCACAGAATGGTTTTATCAGTAAAGCCACTATCAAGTCACATCAGAAATGATATTCTGACCCTCTGACTCTAGCACGTGCCTGACAACAGTGCTGAGCCCAACCTTCTCATGCAAAGCACTGTGGGTACACCAGTGTGCTCCTGACTGTGACTGTTGATGGCTGTCAACTACCACGCAGCAGGCTTGGTGCTATTACCCACCCCACAGTTGACATCCTCACAGCCATGCATAGCAGTGCATGCCTATGGTCTCAGCACTGGGGAGACAGAGGCAGGAGGATTGAGGATTGCCTGTCAGTTCAGGGCCAGCCTGGTCTACATCATGTGGCCTAGACTACATGTCAAGACCCCGCCTCAAAAGTACTTTTTTTTTTTTTTAAAGCAAAAGCAGCCAGTGAGATGGCTCAGTGGGTGAAGATACTTGGTTTATCTTTGAGAACCGCATGGTGGAAGGAGAGGACAGACCAGGTTGTCCTCTGACCTCCACTTACATGCCTTGACACATCCATTACCTCACCCCAACACACCAGTTAAAGGAAGCAGACGGATCCTAAAGGGAATGTACGTCTGTGATTCCCACTCTAGAGAGAGCCCAAATCACAGAGCCAGTCGAGTCACATGGCCAATTCAGCTCAGAGACAATTCTGGGTTAACCCGTTCGTTAAAACTCTACCTTTCCCCATTCCTGTTGACATGGGGTCACAGACTCACCCAGGCAGGGGCTTCCCAGGACAAAGCACATCCAGACTGCGGAGAGTCTGGAATGAGGAAGGTCTCCACTCTGCAGTTCCTCTGCTCCCCCACCCCCAACCCCTCCCCATCCCAGTTTCCATCTCTACCACTCAGAAAACAGTTCAGACCAGAAACCAGGGAGGCTGAGGGGAGGCCGAGGGGAGGCTGAGAGGAGGCTGAAGGGAGAAGTCTCCTTTCCACCCTGGGTTCAGCTGACAAAATGTTGCTGAAGGTGTACACTGTTGTGGGGACTGGCTCTGCAGCCTCCTGTGTGTGTGCTGGTGATGAGAGCCGCTGATCTCTGGGGATAGCTAAGGGAAGCCTGTGGCTAGATCATCCCACCCCAGTCCAGTAACTCACACCTCAGATGAGCTGCACAGCTGCCACAGGGCAGATAGCTTCTACATGGCAGTGGCTGTGCCACACCCACAGTTCCTGTTGGAACCACACATTTACAGGGAAGGTGACTGATTCCCAAGCTCCTGCAAGGACCCCTTCCACTCCTGGAGCCTTGAAACACAATCCTCAAGACCCCTGGTGGTGCTTATTTTTAAAAAGAAAGAAAGAAAGAGGAAGGAAGGAAGGAAGGAAGGAAGGAAGGAAGGAAGGAAGGAAGGAAGGAAGGAAGGATTGTGGCCAAACAGTGGTGGCACATGCCTTTAATCCCAGCACTCAGGAAGCAGAGGCAGGCGGATCTTTGAGTTTGAGGCCAGCCTGGTCCACAGAGAGTGTTCCTAGTTGGAGGACAGCCAAGGCTACATAAAGAAACCCTGTCTTTAAAACCCAAAAAGGAAATTTTATTTAAGTGGGCAGCCAGTGAGCTATGACTATGAACCTACCCCCTCCCCCTCCCCCAGCACCCTGTTGTCTTTTTAAGGGGCCCTGAGTTTGGGGTTCTAAGGGTTTTGTTTTTTGGATCACATTCTAGGTACTTTGAGGACACGATAGTCCCAGAGGCGGCTTGGTAGACACACAGTGGCTTAAGTACACCAGCTAAAGGACAGAAAAGGGGCAGCAGAACACATTACCATGTGGGCAGTCAGCCTGGGGAACTTGGGTAGGGGCAGTGACATTGGCGGGCATTTATGTCAAAGTGGTTAAACGACCTCCACAAGGAAAAGCACAGAAAGTAGCATCTAACCGGATGCCTGGTTTGGGTGACATCTCATTTTGGGTGACATGTGTCTTTTTCATTCTGTCTCCCTTTCTAGTTAATGAAATCATCAGGAAAGAGTTTTCAGGACCTCCCCCACAAAATCAGACCTAGAAACAGCCATTATCGCAAGACACCTTCTACCTTGGACCCCTTCTGTCTCCCCCTGCCTTCTCTGACTGGAATACTGTGTGCACGCAGCACAGGCCGTTGGTGTAGGAGCCTGCTGTCTCTCAAAGATCATCTCAGCTGAGGTCCATGGTGATTGGATGAAAAAGCAACTGCCTGCTGACCAAAGTCCCATTCTCAACTCACCAGGAAGCTGAGCTTGTCGGAGACCCAGAGGCTGGGCTGGGGGAGAGAACTGGGGAGCTTCGATAGAACCCCAGCCCACAGGCATGACTCCTAACTCGCTCGAAGAGTGTTTAGACAGATCAACCAAAAGAACATGGCCCAAGAGCCCAACTTGTGGGCTCTCAAACTCCAGGTCTCTGTAGGATCATCATCTCTGTCCCAGCTGGGCCGGGGCTGGGCTGTATTTTAAGTTTTCTTTCCAAAGCCAAACTGCCTTGCCCTGACAGGACCACCTGTTCCAGCTTCTCAGCCTTAAGTTATAACATGTGTACTTGCCTGCCTGCTTCTGGGGCTTGGTTTTGTTTTTCTCTGCTTCAAAGAGCCAACCAAGGAGTCCGCAGGCTGGGCCCTCTCAGCCAGCTGCTCCCTAAGCCTGCTGCCAGCACCAGACCTCTGGTGGGGTCCAGCCCCCGGCTGCCTGTTGAGAGCATCACTTGCTTCCAAAGGCTCCTCTCCACCCTCCTCCCAGATAGAGCCTCCTCCACCCAGGAGCTGGGAGAGCCTTCCAGGACTTCGCATTGACTGTTATGGAGCTGAAGCCACTCACCCCAATCAAACCCTGCTGGTGTTTGTCATGACTGCCACCAAACAGAACAAAGGAGTTGAAATCTCCCCCACCCCAAACACCGAGCAGGAAAGCGCTGACATAGCCTGTGGTTCTTACCTGGATGTGTGTAAAGTCCGTGTAGAATCCAAGGCGCTGCCACATGAGCTGCACATGAAACTCAGGCAGATGTGCCCCAGCATGTGCTTGGTGGGATCTAGCCCTGCTTGGCCGGCTTGTGTGTCCCGTGGAGTTCTCCACACTTGTTCATTGCGGCCCTCCACAGTCTTCCTCCCCTGGGGCAATTATGTCGCTCTTCCTTTGTTTTGTGTTTTCCGTTCTCGCAGAGTTCTCATCATGAGCAAGGTCGCTTTCTCCACGTTCGTCCGCCACAGGTGACCCTGTACACGTTGGGCAGGCACGTCAGGTGACTTTCTTAACTCTGTCTGCTAGGCAGAGGGCTCGAGTAGCAAGCCACAACGGCTACATACCAATCATGGGTTTCTTACATTCTGGCTTTGTCAAGGCCATCCGAAGGTAAATCTTTGGGAGCTGGGCCAGCTTTGGCTAGACAGAGACCCCATGCCCAGTGTTTAGCTTGAGCACAAAAAGAGTGACTTTTTTGCTGATGTCTAGTATTTCTTTCCCCTATCAGTAGTACCTGGCTTCCCCCCACGACCTACCCAAGCGTAGACCTGAGCAGAATTCTCCTTTGAACCCAGAATGTCCACAAGCAGCCCCTGGTTCTGAGTACTTCCTACTAATCAAAGCGAGCTTCCCTGCTGGCCCGTTCACTGGTGCAGTACCGGCTTCTCTGGGGAAGGGTGACAAGGGTTTAGTGACAGATAGTTCTCACTTGCCCTGGCTGGAAGCCACTGTTTGCACATGAGGAATCGGTCCCTTCCTCGGGTTATCTCAATGTTTTACCCAAGTGCCTTCCTGCAATTGTAGTGAGTAGTTCAGTTGCATTGTCTACAGGGTGAAAAAGGGCTAACTCATTTCCCATTAATCTTCTGTGTCAGCAAGAGGGTTTCCCATAGTTCAGAATCCTGTACCTTGGTGTGTGCGTGCGTGTGTGTGTGTGTGCGCGCGCACACACACGCGCACACACACACACACACACACACACACACGCTTGAGCATGCATGCTAGCACATACAATATCCTTCCCTTTAGACTATCTTAGCTGGATAGTCTAAGAAGCCTTCTCATGAACAAGTAGACCAGGAAGCCAAGGAGAGAAAGTATCATTTGTTCCCAGACAGGCCAGAGAAAGTGCATGAGCAGCAGAGAGCTGTCAAGGAGGTTTGGTCAGGCACAGAGGTTAGGAGGAAACTTCGCTGGGAGCGATTGCTATAAACTGTTTTCAGAGTGGGAAGATGCTGTCTGATCTAAGTCAAGGAGAAAAAGATGCCTGAGTAGTGAAGGTGGGTGTGTCTGTTACACGTGGATCAGGAGGGTCGAAGCAGAAAAGTGTCCTTGTTAAATCCATGGTGACATTAGTGTGGCACTCTGACAGTTCCATCTTGCTGACTGTGGTACTTAACTCTCCAAACTCCGCACATCTTGCTCACTGTACAAAGACAAAGTTGCTGGAGAGTAGACATATCCACCCAGATTCCTATGGTATTAAATTTAATTTTCTTTCCTGGATTTTGATGCGTTTTATCTGCCCTCAAAGTATCCCTGTTGGAGTTAGAACATATTTATAAATGGCCAGATGTCGTCTTAAGGGTTTTTTTTTTTAAACATATATATCTTGATTTTCTGTAAGAGAAATGGTGTGTTCTTGAAATTTATTTTCATTCCAGAAAAACAAATCCAAAGACTCACCTTGGGCCCCTGTCAGGACCTGGGGACAAGAGGGAGGAGGACTGGGAGGAGGGCACATCTTTTTCTTGCTTGAGAAAGATACCTACTCCTTCATCCTCAAGCCTGGGTCATCCCTGAGAATTGTACACAAAGGGTTTAGTGGGTGATTTTGATTTAAAGCCACAGAACCCTGTCTTTTCATGGACTGACAAGACCCTACAGGCAGGCTGATCTTGACACAACCATGTGGAGTATCACAGGTGACCCCTCGTGCAGCATCCGAAGGATGCCACCTTTTATCGTAGCCATGGACGCAGTGAGCTGGGTCCTCCCAAGACCTGGGATAGTTTGTTCACATCCGATAGTCTTGCCATCTACCGTCCACCACCATCAGCCACCCTCAGCCACCAGTGGCACCATCACACAGGCAGGTCAGAAGCGATGTGTTTTGATTGTCACTCAGAACCAAAGAGAGGCTGAGTTGGTTGGTTCTTGCACTGCAGTGCTCAGCATTGACAGACTGTGGAGGGGAGCTAATTAACAACAGTGTTCGTTAGGCACACCAGACAAGACACAGGGGTGGCCAGGCTAGGATAAGTATTCCTGAACTCTTTGCTGGAAGGGCAACCTTGAGGAACCTGAAACACCCTCACCGTGGCCGGCACCCCCCAACCTTGGCCATCAAACTCCATGGACCCAAACCAGCCCCCTGCAGAGCGGAAGAGTTTCCCTGCAGTTCAGCCAGCTGCTAAAACGAGGCAACAGCACCTTCACCTATGACCAGCTTACCCGTGCCTTGACATCCAGCCGCCATCCTTGTCTTAACCCAGTTTGTTTACAGCTAACTCTAGTGATGGACGAGTGCCGTGGAGTGCTTCCCTGAGCAGGCCCCTCTGGGATCCCAGAGTGGTGCTGGGTGTCAAAAGGTTGCTGCTGTCTCTGTGCAGCCCCTGGGGCAGACAGGAATAAATCCCCCTGCCCTTTCAGACTTTAGATGGGCTGGGTGCAGTTGGTGCTCTGGCTGTGTGACTAGGAGCCCCAGCATTCGGGTCTGTGGGAGCAACCCAGTCATCTTATCAGAGAACCTCTGTCACCGCTCAGCCCTCACAGGGCATCTCACAATCCTCCAGCTCCCAGAGGTTGCCCCAGTGATGCCTGAAGACCAGGGTTTGGGAAGAATACCGGTGGGCTTGAGGAGTGGGCATATATCGCATTCCTATGCAAAACGATTTTAATCTCCAGTTTCATGTAGTTTATTTTTGCTATATGTAAAGTATTTTTATACGGCTTGTATGATGACAGCTTAGCAATAAACAGTTGAGAGCAACTTTTCCCTGCGTACAATCTGCTTCTTTGGGGGGGGCGGGGGGTTGCAGCAGCCTTAGAAGTGGGGTTCAGATAGCAAGGAAGGGTTTGTCCGTGCACAAAGTTACCGGCTCAGAAGAGCCTGCTGCCTACTTGCCGAGATGACAGAGCCATGAGGTGGCCAGCTCAGATCTGACCTACCCTCTTTACCCAAGGCTCTGCTGTAATCTGCCTCTGGGTCCCTTCTTTTGGGGGTCACAGGCAGGGACAGATTTATGAGTCAGCCTTGGGCCAGCTTCCAAAAAGTCCCAGAGTCCCAGAGTGCCAGTAGCCGTTTGGAAACAGTGGGGTGACTCTTGGGGCTTTGTGTTTGAGCATCTAAAAAATTACCAGAGAAGAGAGGGGGGACCTTTTACCAACCCTGAAAGCATAAATTCCAGAAAGTTCCAGGACTTTCCACCTGCCTTCCTCCTCAGAATGGCTTTTCTCCTCTCAGTTAAAGCGTCCAAAGGAGGTAGAAGAAACTGCTATTTCTTAAATCTTAAAGTCTTCTACCCTCGAAAGCTTTGCTCTAAGGTTGTGGACTGGTGCCTCAGAGAGTCTTCACTCAACTGTGATCTGCCCTTGGAATGTTCTAGACTCCATCCCTGCCCTGACAGGAACTTGTATGGGTCCTTGTGGCTGCAAACACCTACCCTAAAAGGCCTCAGGCCCCTCTAGTGGCTTGGATCAGAAGCCCCAAAGAGTTGCCCAACCTTGGGGGTCCAGATTCCAGAAGTTTCCCAGTGAGCGCATGGTGGTAGCTGGTGTGGATTCCACTTTTGTAGGACCCTGTGAGGCAGGATCTACAGAGTGCCACTTAAATGCACTCATGTGACTTGAATGGGTAGGACCCCCGCCCTCACCCCACACACAATCAGTACCTGCCCAGCACCACACACAAGCAGGCCCTGCCCGTTATGATGTTTGTGTAACTGTGGGCAACTGGTGTTCCTTTCCTCGCTTCTGAAGCTCTTCCGTGCATTTCCTAAAGGCCAGCAGCAGCAGCCAAAGACGAGGGCAGGACTATACACCCATCCGCAGCAGACCTGTCTTCTACGGCTCTGAATGAAAAGGGACAGGACAGCCAGACGCAGGGACACAGCCAGACGCAGGGACATCGGGAAGAGTGAACCTGACCCTGAGCAGGGCCATGTGAGGAGATGGGGAGGGGAGAGCCAGAACAAGGGGCCAGGATTGGAGGGGGGACCACAAAGGGCCTGATAACCAACATGGTTGGATTACATAGGGAAGGGCAGCTCAGCCCCGGGCTGGAGAAGTTTGGGTAGGGGCAGGGTATGCCAGTCATACCCTGTAATAGGTGAGGACTCAAGGATACTGGGAAAACCAGGTCCTCCCGGTTTGATATGTTAAGTGGGCATCTCAGTTACCATTTGTCCTGGATTTGAGACCTAAGGATCGCCATGCAAACTTCATTTGGTAAACATAAATTTGGCCCATTCCTCCAGATACAAAATGCTGACAATAGTTGCCACCTCCCGGGTATCGGGAACTTAATAGATACTGGTTTATATTTGCCATTGGTTCCCTGTAGCATCACCAAACAGATTTTGTACTTTGGTGTTGAGCCTTGAGCTCCTGCTAGGACCTCATCTAACCGGTGAGGTCTGGAAAAGCATAATAGAAGTTTGGGTTTGTTTTTTAACTAGACCATAAGAGCCAGAAATGAGTCTATCCACTTTTCAAAAATTCCCCAATGTAAAGTACACGTTGGGACATACGGGGGTGACAGGAGTCTGCAAAGGTCCCTTGCTACATGCAGCAGCCGGCTGCAGTTCTACAGTCGGGGAAAGCGTAACTCTGGGTTGGTGATAAGTGGGTACTTCAGAAGACCTAGCGGAGAGAGTAGGACAGACGCCAGCACAGCCTCTTTGGGGTCATAAACGAGAAGGAGTACAGGGCCTGGCTTGAGTCTCAAACATCGAGAAGGGCTGAGACCACAAGAGTCACTAATAAATGAAAGTGAAGGCCACAGACAGACAGACAGACAGACACACATGGTGAGGCAGAGAGGACCAGCCTGCAAACTTCATGACATTTTGTGGTACAAACGTGAATCAGTTTGAACAAAACTTTCCTCCCAGAAGGCCACTCTCTCAGCCCACCTGCCGCCACCTCCTGGTAATGATCAGAAGTGCATACCCCCCACCCCCACCCCCACCCCCACCCCACTGCCAAGGAGACTGCCCTGTCCCACCCTCTCCAAGAATGCCTTCTTGCAAATTCTATACTCTGAAATTGCACAGCACGTCATAACCATCAGAGTACTGCTGGGCCATCCGTACTGTCTGGTCCTTAGCCAGATTTCAGGGAAGGACGGCGAACCGCAGCCTCTATGCAGATTTCTCAAGTTCCCTCAATGGCCCACCAGGAGCAGAGTAAACCCACAAGGTTAAGGTTCTGTTTCATGGCCTTTGCTCCTAATGACACGAGGCCACACAAGGCCAGGCTTCCCAGGATCATCTTGGACAGGGTTGCACAGAACCCCCCCCCCCCTTCCCCTCACAGATTCCTGATGATGGTACATCGGCGGGACTTTACTATGCCAACCACAAGGCATTTCTAGTTAACATGCCAGAGATTCCCCAATGCCCAGTCTCCACCCCTCGCTTCCCCAGCAGCCTGCAGCAACACGGTCTAAGCAGTTAAGGAACAATGTGGCAGTCACCCTGAGTCTCCCACAGCCCCATTTCCCACACGTCACCAGGTTCTGTGATCTGTCCCTGAAGTGTTTGTCACCCTCTCCCTTTGTGCCCATGGGCCTTCCCTCTTCTGCCTAGATGCTGCACAGGATCCTTGAGTTCGCCTGACATTCCTCACCCACCTTGCACACAGCAGAGTCAGACTGTCACATCATATCCCATTCTGCCCCTGGGCAAAGCATCTCAGTGGCTCTCCACATTTAAGTCTGGATTCCAGGCAGCCTCCTTCCCTGCCTGCCATCTCCACTCACAGCGTTTCTCCCTTGCTCTCAGACCCCCCCCCCCCAGTTCAGTGTCTGCTTTCTTAGTGCCAGAAGTGCTCGCCTCCTAATTCCGGAAGCACTTTAAAGACCTGGCTCTTCCTACCTGACTACCTGGAACCACGGGAAGCCCACCAAGCTGAGCCCACTGTTTGTGGAAACAACTAGTGGTTGTCCCAGGAGAGAAGGACAATGCTTGCCTTGGCTTAGGGCTAACATCCCCAAGCCCAGCACACAGTAGGTCCCTGGGAGACGGGGTGTGTGAATGAACAGACACCACCAGCTCTGACATGCACAAGAGGCAGACAGCTACGGGAAAATTAATAACTTCCTAATATTTAACCCATTTTTTCAAACCAAACAGTGGACTCCAGAGAGGCCTTCTCCCGGCCCCACAGGGCTTGGTGTATTCATTTCTGGTTACACAGCGGTTGTTTTCTGGCAAGAGCCAGCTCCCTTCACTGCAGAAAGCAATAATGACATGACTCCCTCGGGTCCCCCAGCTGCCAAGTCGTCATCTGCTCCCGGCAGCCTGTAAGTCACCTGTGGCCCTCCTGCCTGTAAAGCTCTCTCTGCTGTAGCTCAATGACTCCTAGGGGACAGGTAAACGAAGGGCGGGCAGCCAGCTGCTGTTTACTAGACAAATGTGAAACTGGAACTTCCCCAAGGAGGACTTTTGATAAGGTGAGAGATGAGACTGCTGCGGGGCTCCACAGCGCCCACTGCAGGCCATTTGAGGAAAGGTGTGAGGCCACAAAACCTCCAGGACTCCCTCTTGCTGCCAATGGTCTGAGTACCATGGGGTCTTCTGTGTGATCCCGGCCCTTCCTGAGGCCCAACCTGCCAAAACTAGGTCAGGCTGTCCTTTAAGAGCCTAAATGTGAGGTCCTGGATACCGTGGCCTCCCATCTCCTCACAGTCTGGCCCTGTTTCTTTACTTTTTATTCTGTTCATAGTGGGCTATCAAGTTCCGCTTTCTGGCTTCCACGAGTCCCTTAGAGCCCACTATCTGCACCTCTTCTCTCCAGTCTCATACAGCCCACACTCTCCCCTCTGTAACTGAAGCCCACCGGCTCCCAAGGCCACCCCACCCCACCCACCCCCATCCTTACAGACCTCAAGTGTAGGAAATTTAATGCTTAAAGCCTCAAAAATTTACAGCCACGCAGAGGTCAGAAGTCCAAAGTGGGGTTCGCGGGGATGGTCAGCAGACTGGGGTGCTCCTGGAACCTCCCTGGAGGATTCTTCCCAGCCTCTTCCAGCTTAGGCCCCCAGCCTACTCCATCTGCCAAGCCAGCACTACAGCTCATTAGCTGGTCTTCGTGGAACCTCCTTTGCTGATACTGTCTTATGATCACACAGGGCTCACCTGGGCAGCCTAGGTACCCACCCCCACTCACCTGCAATCAGTAGTCATCCTTACTAACCCTTGATATGGAGGGTCGTGGATCCACAGGTTTCAGGGATTATGGGGGACATCTTTGTGTGTGTGGGGGTCATCTTTGCCAGCTCAGAAGTGTTCCAGGGTGGCTGGGGCTCTGAGGGGTGGTTGTCTCCCATTCCTTTCTGGACTGCAGTCTGTTCCCACTGGGCCTCTGCTCTTATTTCCTAATGATTCTCACGTGGGTCCGTCCTCCAGCTCCGTTCTTGCTTGATGCTTGGTGATCCCATCATCAGAGTGCTCCCCTCCCACACACACCCCACCCGACTCTCCATTTCTCGTCTTCCTCAGAACGCCTGTGCTCAGATCTCAGCCAGAAGACGACATAGGGGTCTCCCCGTTCATTGTGCGCCAAGGTCACTTTGGAGGCTTCAGAGGATTCTTCCCAGAGCTCGCAATGTCAGCAGAAAGTCTAGGGAGGCCAGAGGAGTTTGTTTCCATCTTCTCCGTTTGGAGCTCCAACTCTTGACGGTGTTCTGTCCACCGTCCAGATCCAGTGTCCACACGGCCTTGGGGCTGGTGATGCTCTGACCTTCCGCCCTTCCTGACTCAGTGCTTCTCTG